ATTATTATTATTATTATTATTTTGAAACGTGTATTACTATTAAATCACGGTCAAATAGGTTAATTTTGACATAGTCGTTTCCACCACAGTATTTACATGGAGAAGATAAGCCCCGCCCCCTCTCCAGCACGTTCTGTTTGAATGACAGGAGTAAACAGCTGACAGCCGCTGTGAAACTCCAGCGGTTAGAGCGATGAGAATGTCCGTTCGGCACCTCATGACGCATCTACTGAGTACCGGGCGGCTGTATATATATATATGGATGTATAATAAGAACGGCGGGAGAGTGTTGAGTACTGGCACGGTGCATGAGTACCGGAGTACCGCCAGCATGCCGGTACTGAGCAAGAAGTGCCGGTACTCCATGGGTCAGAACCAGAAGTGCCGGTACTGCGTACCGGTGAGTACCGGCCCAATTCCAGCACTGGATATGGTAGACCGCGGAGGATACATCAGATGTATCCTCCAAATACGGGAAAAGAAGGCCGCATTCGGAGGAGTCTCTTTTTTTTGTTGAATTGGGACAGCCTTCTTTCGGCGGAAGTGACGTATATGTGGTCTACGAATGCAGCCGCCGAAGGATGCAGCCCTTGAATTGATACACGGCCATAGTTAGTTATTTGACTTTAATTCCTGTAGCCTCTTCCAGCTGGACAGATGAAGGAGAAGTAAGCCATCTCCTCCCCCTCTCCCCTCCTGTGGTGTCAGTGGGGGGGGGGGGGGGGGGGGAAGTGAGACACAGGTGACCACAGCATCTGCTCTTCCTGGGCCCTGTTCCACTCCAATCCCAATCCTCTATCTGGCATCCTGACCGGTTTACATTGCAATAACTACAATCTACATTTTTGACATTCCTCCATCCTGCCCTGTGTGATGTAGCCATGGCTGTGTTCCCTAAATCAGCCCAAACCATCTGTGCAGATGGGTGAGGGAAGGTGAAGCAGCTCAGGAAAAGTGGGATGCTGCCCAACGTAGAACAACTTCTGGCTCTCAGCCCTCTGGCTCCACAAGGGGAAGCAATAAAGGTGGAGCCCAGCCGAGCAACAGCTGACAGGAAAAATACCCGATGTTTGGCCAAGGTCAGTAGAAAACACACACCCGTACACACACACACACATCCACGTGGGGTGAGGATGTAACAGCATAACAGGGTCAAAAGACACAGGGGAATGATAGTGTGGTGACCCAATACTCGAGGGGTGTCAGAGAGCAGACGGACAACACTGAGCACTGTAATAAGGCAGCAGCAGGCTGTTACCAGGTGGAGATCACACTCACACATAAACACACACATGTTCAAACACACACCCACACACACACGATAATGTATTTTTCACTGTGCCTGCTTCATTCACTTTTCTCTCTTGCTAAACGTTGCAACACCTTTAGTGTCAGCTGATATTAGCTTATTGCAGATATAGTATCTACATTGGGCAAAAAGAAATACAAATGCCAAAGACATGTATGCAGTATTTTTTAGTTTTGTTTAGTTTCACTTAAGAGTATTTCCCTTAAAGCAATTCAAAGGGCTGTTTCCTTGGGCTGTTTTATAAATGTATAATTATTTATAATATTATTTTGTTGCTATTTTTGACTTTTCAGACAAAACCATTAATCAATTTATTGGGATGGGATATTTAAACAGTGATACAAAATCAATGTAAAAACAGCCTAATAATTTATAACCTTTTATTACATTTCTAAAAAACAAAACAAAACATTGACCTTGTTGATACCACAAACAGTCACACAATACTTCCATCGAGCACAAACTGACAACTCACACCTCTCTCTCCTGATGACATACATGTGTACATGTACATGTGTAGAAATCGTGACTTGTGAAAGATTAAAGAGGAAAGGAAGAGAAAAACAAAAACAAAATGAAAGTCTTAGACGGCAGACGGAGAGCCGGGGGAGAGTTTAGTTCTTTTGAAACACAGAAGCCTTTTAAAATCTCCTGGGAGTCCACGTGAAGTGCAGACCTCTCACTGGGAAACTAGAAAGGTTTAAATATCAGCCTCCCATTAGCCTACCGATAAATCAGGCTAATTAGCCTATTAGGCCTCTGAACTTTACACTCTAAATGACTCTTCTAAGCACATGCTGTTATCCAATCTGCAGTCTGAATGTCCAAAACAATCTCCTGATGGTATCTTTCTTGCTTTAATCACCAACACAATTACATATTATTGAATCCACCAGGGCTTACCGTCCTTCCTCTGCCATCACTCATACAGGACAAAAGGCATTCAAATCCTCATTAATCTGAAACCAAAGAACACAGTGTAACCCTCTTGAGGGATTGAAAACATGTAGCTGGCACTCAGCAGTGCAGCAGGATAATATTTCTTTAATAACGCAGACAATATTCAGGAGTTCAAAGGACAAAGCTTCCTCTCACTTTTACTCCTGGTCATGCCAGTGTGAATGAGTGCGTACAGTGTTACAGACATCGGAGACTGCAGGAGGGAGGTCCTGGCCGCGCTGCAGCAGAGCGGGGAAGGTGGAGTCAGGAGTGTGTAGACACACAGACAACCAGATAGCTGTAATTACTTCAGCAGCAGACAAAGATTAATTAAACAGGAGAGTGCAGAATTAATGAGGTTAGCGTGCACCTCAACCAGACTTTAAAAAGTTCACACCATTCCCGTGGAGACTGCAGGCTGTGTGGAGATGCACACAAAGAAGACGAAACAACTCGTGGAATTCAATATTTCCCCATTTTCCATTTTGAAAAAGCCACAAAAGAGATGTTTTATACAAACATGCAGTCTGGGGAGTAAGGTGTTTCTGAAGCATACACATCCAGGTGAATTTGCTGTTTAGAACCAGATGCTTTAAACTAATCCTCCTCTTAAAGCTAAGTTAATTACCCATGAAAGCAAAGGGATCATAGCTGATTATCTGAAATCGGCAAAGAAGTGTACACGGGTGTAATTGCAAAAAAGACGAGATCAGCAAAAGCTCCTTCTATCCTCACAGAAGCCCATGCATGCCCGCTGCATGCTCCAATCAGACAGCTAAGCTTTCTTACCTATTATGCAAATGTGAGTAATCATATCTGAAAATGACTAAAACCTCCACTAAATAAATCACGTTTCATGCATTATCCATTCCACCACTTACGAAAGACATCACTCAAATGTGGAATAATGTTTTCATTCATCTTTGAAACACACTTTACAATCATGGAAACATCAAGGTGTCCCTGAGAATACATAGGATTGAGCAGCAGAAAATACTGGTTTCCTTTACATCACCCAAAGACTTACAGTATAGAAATAGAAATCTCTGAAGTCTAACTGACAGCTGGCCAACATTGCATTAACATGTCATATGCTTGCTCCAAGTCCTGCACCACAATTGGACTACTTCCCAAATCTGACTGGCAGCCATGATGCTCTGCAGCGCCCAGAATGTCTTTAGACCCCGAGACAAATGGTTTCAAGTTTTCTGTCAGAGGATAAGTAGGTGACGTTGTCCTGTTTTGGCCAGATAACAAGGCATCCCTTTGTGTGGAGGGACTGTCGTTATTCTAAATCTATATAAAGGACAGATTTACCACAAGTATTCAGAGCTGGTCCTTAATGAAAAACAGCTGGTGAGATCATGACAGCCATAGTTTATGTTACCCAAGGAAAGGGATTGGTACAATGTGGGTTCATTGTACTTCAGTGGCTTGTTTTTCAAATGTTTCCCCGACAGTGTTTCATGTCCTACTCCTAGGTTTACAATTAATTACCCAATGTGTTAGTATTTATTTTACAGATCTATAATTTCCCATGGGTTGAGTTCACACAAAAATAGCTGCAATTTACAATCTTTTTCATAATCAGTTATTCTGCCAATTATTTCTAGGTTAATCTTAAAAATCATTTAGTCTTTAAAATGCCGGAAAAATAGTAAAAAAAAAAGTTAATCGAAGTCCACGGTAATTTGTTTAAATGTGTTGTTTTGTATAACATAAATCTAAGATATTGAGTTTAATATGGTATAAAAACGAAGGACGCAAGAAATCTCCATATTAGTAATAAACTCTTCCTGATACTATACTTAATGAGGTAACTTCGACGGTGACCTTCCACGTTAGCCCTACACATTTGTCATCACAAAGAAATCTAATTCATTAGGCACTGCACTGATGGATCACACTGGAGCTTTATCAATCACTCCTGTAACACATCACTCAGCTGAGAATTGGATCACAGCCTTCACGCAGCAGCAATAGGAGTTTACACAAAGTCAACTGATGGATGTGGTGACAGCGAGGTGTTGAAAAATCGGCTAAATGTGAACAACTCATGTCGTCATGGAGCCTGTGTGTAAATCAGTAGAGTGATGTCAGTATGTGGAAGAAAATGTGCACCTGTTGTGTCTAATTTTCTCAAAGGGGAAGTTATATATTCATCCACCATTTAGATGTCATCACCAGAGGCAGCTCAAGGATATTTAGTCTACTGTGGTTAGTTATTTGGAGAGGGCAAAATGTGTACTGCAATAACATCTATGCATTAAGTTTCTTGGAGATCAGGTTAAAAATATACATGTTATTTTTGAAATTGCATGTTTCCCACCTAAGAGGCAATATTTCAAATGATAATTTAAGCTTGATAAAGAGGCGACTTGTAGGCAGTAACTCCCTAAATCAAGCTTGTTTTAATGAATAATTAAGGTAATGTTAACCTTTCAATGTCTCCGAAAACACACCAGTGGTCACAGCTCCTCTGGATTAATAACACTAATTCGAGTCAATACGAGGGTTCCGGTAATGGCGGACGGCTGAACAGGTGACGAGCCCCGACTCTCCGATCAATTCCATCTTTTTACCTAATACTGACCAGTTACATAATCATAAAAACCCACAGTTTGAGACATAAAGCAATGGCAATCTGATATGCCCCAAAAAATACCAAAGCTGAAGCTGAATTGTTCCAGAACACGAAGGACTCCAGTCCCGAAGAATAGCATTAACTTTGTACTTAAATAACATAACATACCTTAAACTGAGTGTTGGTTCTGGTCTTACTCTGTGCAGAAGCCCCATCACATAAGGAAACACACCGGGTTATAGTTCATCTTATTCTTATGATAGTTCATTTGTATGGCCACAAATGCAAACTTGGAGACGGGGCGCTCACAGGTGAACTCCATGGATGTATAATAAGAACTCGCGGACTCTATGGACTTGATTGAAGGGTTAGCTAAACTAGCATAAAAACAAACTTTAAATATCAGTCGCCGTTGTCCTTAACATTGGTGCTTTCGTCGTCCTCGTCATTTTTGTTGCTGTAGTTTTCGTTTTTCTTGTGTATTTGTTCAAGAAGAATTGAAAATGTTTAGCCAATGCCGTTTAGGCCAGAGCCCTAGAGATCTCTCTGGTTTAGGCTAGAGCCGGCTCTGGTTTAGGCTAAACCGCCATCAGTACACAACCGGAAGTAGTGTTTTGTTCATAACGCAGTGTTTGTGCAGAAACGCCCCCTGGTGGTGGGGAATTAAATACAGAATAGCACAATAACTCAATATAGGCCTATGCTTATTTCATGCAGTTTCTGCGAAAACCAGGGCATAAATAAATACCGTAACCTTACATTTATATACAATTTTTAGGGAGCTAAATGCGAGTAATTGAAGATGTCTGTTGAGAATATGTATGGTAGATACAAGAATGACTTTTCACCAGCTTCAAGATCAGCAGTTAAAATACCGGAGATTGACAGGTAAGAAAATCAAGAGATACACATATAATCTTCATCATTATAGCTTGTGTAGTTTAATCTTTAACACATTACACTCAACAGTATCAATGAATCCTGAGCAGACATATGTTGGCCATTCAGTTAGAGACCTCAGCACTGTAAGGTTAGTGATTGAGTTTATGCCGACTTTAAAGCACCAATCAGGAATGAAATGTCACGTGAAAATGACATGAGCAATGTTCAGACATGTTTAAATGCATCCTGGCTTTTATAATTGTCTTGTCTTTATATGCTTACAACTCCTACTGGACCTCCAGTCTGTATCATCCATACAGAAATGAATACGTTTGATAGTTTACATCATGTCAATGGACACTTCCCTCTGTCACACACTCATCTTTATTGCCAAATCAAAGTAAGGATTCATTTTTGATTTGCCTGAACAAAGCGACATGAGTGAAAGCTTCATTTAAGATTGTAACTCCTGCTTCAAAGTGCTCACAACAGGAAAGGCTGGACAAAATGCAGATAAAGATGTGTGAAAAAAGTGGTATGGAGTTACAAATCACCAGTATAAAACGAAACATTCAGAAATTGATAAAGCACAAAATGCAGCTTTTAACATCAGTGTGAAAATTGATTATAAATAATAAATCACATGCTGCATTTTTCTGATTTAAGTTTAAAAGTAAAAAAAGTTCTGATGTACAAATAGACTTACAGACTTCAGTTTAAAATGCCTGATCATTAAAACGTTATCTAACTATAAATGTTTAATGCTTATCAAAGTGCACCAGAAGTTTTATTGATGCTGGTGGATTGAGAAGGCAAAACCCATGTACACAAAACACACATACCCAACAGTACCTACACCTTTCACATTCAGACTAAGGCAAGTAGATAAAATGCCCAAAACGGTTTATAGTAAAGGGAAAAGGTCAAAAACATCACAGCGTTAACGACTCAAATGAACTTAATGATATAACGATCACATACAGCGAAGCATAAAAATCTCTCAAATGACATGCAGTTATGTTTAGCCTTAAAGCACTATGGATTTACATGTATTATTCACATTGATGCAAGGATCACGTATCTTCAACTCTTGATTATCATTAGATATTGATGATATAAAAGATCTGTTCGATAAGACCTGATCGTCACAAACGCTACATGCTGCTTTTCAATGCACCTTTCCTTGTGCTCAATTTTTTTGTATTTGTACCCGCTGTATTTGTGTAGAGTATAGGAATCTGAAGACTGTCTGAGCTTTCATGGTGCACCTACGCTCCCAACAGTGTATTTTCGCTGAAGCAGTTTGATTCTAAGCTGGTAAAGTCAAGTTAGCAGAGGCAGATGTGAACCTGTATTGCTCCATTGAAATGCCGAAGAAATAGTGCAGTGGAAATGTAAACGTAGTATCTGAGAAGTGTGTGGTTCTAGCCCCCTCAGTTTAGCCCCCTGAAAGTGTCCTATAGGCATGGTAAATTATGTTCCTTTCTTTTTTTGGTCCATTGAAGCAGTGTCACACCACCCTTTGAAGGATGTAGAGGATGCCGATGCTGTCGATGGTGACGAAGGTGGAGAAGTCGGAGGAGACGTGGATCCTCTTCAGCGCTGTTCCCCTCGGAAAGAAGGTCTGCAGAGCCTTGCCTTTCTCCACATCCCACCACTGGACAAAAAGAGAGAAAGAAAGACAGTTGAAATGCTTTGGACTTCAAACAGACATCACAGTTGCAGACAATCTTGGACTGAAAAATAATCAAGAACCGCGTTAATTAGTGAGCTTTAGAGGTGCTGATAGGTGGATTTTGTTACTGTTTCCAGTATTTATGCTAAGCTAACGGCACCCAGCTGCAGCTTCATAGTAACCTTCAGGTGTAAATGTCTCAGTTTTCAGAATTTCTCTCAGAACTCTTTAATAATCTATGAAAGTGTGTTGTTCGCAATAGGCTTTTTCTGAATGAATCCACACACACACACACACACACACACACACACACACACACACACACACACACACACACACACACACACACACACACACACACACACACACACACACACACACACACACACACACACACACACACACACACACACACACACACACACACACACACTTTTCTGAGTGATTCCGTTTAATCTCAGTTTAAAGTTGACATTTTCCATTGAAGCTCCATCTCATTGGGATGAATCATGAAAGGCACACCAAGTCCATCATTTATACTCGGCCACGTGTGTGTGTGTGTGTGTGTGTGTGTGTGTGTGTGTTCAACTTTGACAATAAACATGTTAACTTCACACCAATATGTTCCCTCTTCCTTCTGAATAAAATATGACGTTAATTAAATCAATAGGTTGAAGCTTATGATGGTGTCGGATGTTTTTGTTCTAAGGCTTGAGTGTTGGAGTGTGTGTGTGTTTGTGCAAAATAAACCAGGCCAACTCTGCAGGCTCTCGACAGACAGGCGGACAGACACAAGAGGTGGTGGCAACAGATGTCTAGTTTAAAGAACAATCCCCACACACACAAATTGAAAATGGCTCAGTTTATTTCTGTTGCTGGCTGCAGGCGGTTGGCCATACTTCTGCTGATTGGACTTTCTCCACAGCAAGCTATTATAACACACACACATACGTACAAACATCACACACGTGCTCACACACACACACAAACAAACCTAAATGAAGCTGGTAACTAATAATGGAAAGGCTTCACACTGACTTTGCTATCTTTGAATTTTGTAAAAAGAAGGTAGACATATTAAATGATAGGAGTACAAAAATGAACCTGGAATAAATGCTACCGTAACATATTATGTGCAAAATGTTGGACTCCAAGAAAAACAATTCTGTTCCAGCTAGGTAAAGTAATAAACAAAAACCAATAGATCTCTGAAATAACACTCAGTATGTCAGAGTTTGCTGTGCAATATCGAACCCATTTACTCATGAGGTAAAAACAAAATGTGTTCCTACATAATGATATCTAATTGGTGGTTGAATATTAAGTGGTTCTAATTTAAAAGTCTCTTGAATTCCCATTAACGTGTTTCTTTACTTTCCATTTGTAAAAATAACTCTCATTATTAACACTCTGTTTTCTTTTTCGCTAACTCCTTGTAATCAACGTTACGCTTGCATCAATCTGCATCAATACCAGAGAAATGTGAGATGTTTTCAGGTGTTGGACCAGCTGTATAATGAACAAATAAAAGGTCAAGTCTGACTAAATATAAAAATACCCCATTATCTGTGACAGACTTTGGCTTTTCGTTGATTTGACTTCAATCAATTTATACGGGTTAACAATAAACCCGTATAAATGTTATGTTTAAGAAAGACAGCTGTAAGAGTCAGACAGTCTGACCCATAGGCATACATAATTCACTGTGCAAAGAGTACTCTCCTCATATCTCTGGCATTTTATCTAGGATCAATCAGGAACATTTTACACAGCTAGCTTAAAAAAAATACTATAATTTGGAAAGAATTAGATCAAATTAACAGTAGGATGCTGAATCTGTGTTGTGTTTAATTTAACATCAGAGGGGTGCTGCGTTCTCGAGGCTAAACGTGACCTTTAGTCGAACCAATTCATTTCAACATGGTTCATAAATAAGAAACATTAAGACTGAATCACATGGCTTAACACTGTTATGATTAATCATTGCTTTGTGTGCTAACAATCCTCTGAAGATTACTGGACCACATGAGGTCTTTGATGGTGAGAAACAGAAGCAAAACAACTGCAGTCTCCATTTACGTAAACAGTTACAGCTTCTTGTATTTTGTCTCAGGCTTTAACACAGATTTACAGACACACCTGATCGGGGGTTTGTTCCTTTTTTCCTACATATTTGAAAACTCTTCTTTTTTCCCTGACATTGTAACCAGTGCTGGAATTGGGCCGGTACTCACCGGTACGCAGTACCGGCACTTCTGGTTCTGACCCATGGAGTACCGGCACTTCTTGCTCAGTACCGGCATGCTGGCGGTACTCCGGTACTCATGCACCGTGCCAGTACTCAACACTCTCCCGCCATTCTTATTATACATCCATATATATATATATACAGCCGCCCGGTACTCAGTAGATGCGTCATGAGGTGCCGAACGGACATTCTCATCGCTCTAACCGCTGGAGTTTCACAGCGGCTGTCAGCTGTTTACTCCTGTCATTCAAACAGAACGTGCTGGAGAGGGGGCGGGGCTTATCTTCTCCATGTAAATACTGTGGTGGAAACGACTATGTCAAAATTAACCTATTTGACCGTGATTTAATAGTAATACACGTTTCAAAATAATAATAATAATAATAATGCCGAAGTAACAACATACTGAAAACTGTTAGTAAAACCATGTTTTAATGCTTTACAATTTACATACCTAGATGCACGTGTGTTGTGTTTATGCAGTGCAACTCCCAGCCAGTGGGTGGCTATGTAGAGTGATAGAACAGAGCAGGCACGCCCCCGAGAGAAGGAAAGCAAGTCACGTCACAAATGAGCATTTCTAAAATGTTAGCGTGGATTAATAAAAGTGCAAAAAGACAGCGGTTGTCGCCGGAAGAAACTTCAAATACAGAGAATGCTGTGCCTGTGTTGAAAATTGTGTCTGATGGGGAGCTTTCTTTGGTTGATCCTCCTGCTCCAAGTTCTAGTGCATTAGCATTAGCACTAGCTCCGCCGCCTCCTCCAGAGCCTCTAACT